AGGTTACAGGTGCTCAAGGTGATGTTCAGGTTTTTTTTTTTTTTGGGTGGGGTGGGGTGGGTGCTGGAGATCCAAATTCAAGTCTTTATGCTTGCATGTCATGCTCTTCACCCAATGAACCATCTCCTTGCCCTCACATTTTTTTTTTTTTTAGTTTATGAGATTTAGTTATATAGCCCAGACTGGCCTTGAACTAGGCACCTCTTGATTTAGCCTTCCTAACATTAGGAGCACAGGCATGTGCAGACACACTTGGTCAAAGTAGGTACTTTTAACAACAACAACGAAAGCATTTGTAGTCTTCTGGATGTATTTTTAATAAAAAGATCTGCGATCCAGTGGTGGGTTGTATTTATCACCTGTTATTCCAGATGCTTTCAAACAGGTCCAGCGACTCCCTCAGTCTGTTGGTGTTGTTGTCCTCCCGGATCACCATGTTGTAGCTACTGCAGGCTGCCACATAGATGATGGCAGTGACATCTGGGTTGGGCAGAGGGAAAGGGAAGCACTTTAGATGGACAAGGCTGGCTTCTCTGGGATTATGGCTGCTCAGGTCCTAGGCACTATCATTTGGGGATCGTGTCTAGAATGACTTGAATATAGGTTATATACACAACTGGGCATTGCTGCCAAAAGCTAACTGGAAATATGGGGTGATTAAATTCTCCATGAGGTTCACATTTAAGGAAGGACCATGGCTCTTTACTTCACATGTTACGTTTACTATGTTATACTTTACATAGGGATTAGAGTTTGATGAAAACACAGCTAGACACAGTGGTGGGAGTCAGCACCCAGCCCTCTACGGAACATGCAAATCACCATTAAAGCACTGGATCCATTTTCTTCTCTCATCCCTCTGGCCGCCAACATCAAACATGCTGTGGAGGAGAAACAGAGGGGCTGGTTATTCAGGGGACCTGGGGAAAGGGGCACATGACTTTACCCTTCTCTCTTGTTGTCATATGGTCGGTTGCTCATGAGGCCCCTCTGGCTCTGGGCCCTTGTCTTTGAGCTGCATGGCATGCGGCCTCTCCCCAACTTCACTTCTTCCTCTTTCATGCTGCACTGTGGATGCAGGAGTTAAGAGCAAGGCAGAAAGCTGCAGACACGGTGTCTAGGGACGTATAGTAGGTACCTAATAGATGCCGTGGTTCCTAGTTCATAGCACACCTTGTACCAGGTGCATGCTAAGTCTGTGCTGGGTAGATCCTCTGAGAACGCATCTCAGCTTCAGAAGACTGCCTCCCCTGGGGAAGTGTGGGGCTTCCTTCTGCTCCAGCTCTGTCCACAGCCCTCTAGTCACCAGTGCCTGACAAGAGGACTCTGTCACCTACATTCAGGCAGATGATACAGCCCTCCCTCAGGCTCTCCAGTTGTCTGGCTCAAGTGCCCACACAGTTTTCAGGCTGTTTCTCTGTCGCGCATCAGATGGACCCTGGCCCCTATCTCCCTCCCTCCTGCTCAGTGCTCCCCTTTCCTGGAGCTGTGTCTCCTTGTGGGTGAGCTTCTCAGTGCCCTCGCTGGAGTCCAGCCTCACATAGCCTGCCCTGAGTCCCAGTTCCAGCCCCTGGAGCCTCAAGACCTTGTGCCTCCCATTCTGGCCAGAGGCTGGCACCAGACTGGGCCTCCACCACTGTCTCTGTCACAGGAGACTCTTAGCAATGTACTCACTGAAAGTTCACTTTGTCCACTTGGAATCGTGTCTCAAAGATTCCCGAAGTCAGCACTCTGCATCTGAGGAGGTCCTGGGGCAAGAAGAGAGAAGAAAGGTGTGCCTGACATAAGTGTGGTCACTGAGAAATGAGAAGCTCTAATGTAAAAAAAAGGAGCAATGAAAATCCAGCTGTAGAAAACCTCCACTGCTAAATCAATTTGGCTCTTCACACAGTAACCGTGTTTGCATGTCCCTCAAGACTTTTTTTTTTTGTTTTGTTTTTGTTTTTTCGAGACAGGGTTTCTCTGTGTAGCCTTGGCTGTCCTGGAGGTTATTCTGTAGAACAAGCCTCGAACTCATAGAGATCCACCTGCCTCTGTCTCTCAAGTGCTAGGATTAAAGCCGTGCGTCACTACCACCTGGCACCTCTCAAGACTTTTAAGAAGTGATTCACATCCACATCTTGCTGTTATATGACAGTCAAACCTCAGTACACAGTGTTCAGGAACAAAGTCTTGCCTATGTTCTGTGGCTACACCTGGAAGTCTCTACTGGGACTGATCCAGTAGGAGCTTAACTCTCATTCACAAGTCAGGGACCTCAGGGCTGGAAGCTACTTCACTTTAGTAGGGTTGCTGTCACTTCCTTGCCTAGTTCTGCTCTCACCACGACCACAGTTGATATGCTCCCAAGGGCACGGGAAAGCTACAGTTTCACACAGCTGACCTCACCCTGTCCTGGGTAGCTGTCATTATGCTGTTTATGAATCAGCCACTCTGGAAGATGATCAATGTTTCTGCTGTTTTATAATCACAACATCACACCTATGTAGGTTCCCTCTGAGGCGTTTTCCTGATGTAAGAGAGCCCAAGTTACACCGTGGGATATGTTTATATTAGCATATTAATTATATGCTATGATATTTTCATACTTTTATAGAATCTACTTTGAGCACGTTCCCGTTCCCTTCTCCTATTACTTTCCCTCCTCCCGATGCCACTCTTCCTTCCAACTAGTCCCTTCTGGTTTCATGTGTGTGTGTGTGTGTGTGTGTGTGTGTGTGTGTGTGTGTGACTTAATGAATTTAATCAAGGTTGCTTACAGGAACATGGGTGAAGGGTTATTTACAGGAGAGAAGATGTCTCTACCTTCCCCAAACCATTGACTCCCCCCAGAACCTTCATGAGCCTCATACTGAAGGATCATTTTAAGCTCTTTGGGTCAGCCATAGAGACAGATACCCAGAGAAGAAAGAGGAACTTCGATCTTCAGGGAATAGAGAGGAGAGAGAACCTCCATGTGGTTCAAGCCCCAGGCCTCCAGGGGTTGTGAATGCTCAGGGTAAGGTAGAAGGGATAGTTTGCATGCAGTCTTTATCTGCTCAAACCAAGGGCCACACTTGCAGCACACCTGGAGATGTGCTATGGGACCTGGGGTTCAAGTCTGAAGTCCAAAGCAGAAAAAGAGCCAGTGTACTCAAGTGGGAAGCGAAGGCCTGGCTTCCTCAGCGATGGGCCTTGGAAGCCTGGGAATCACATGCTCCTATGCTGCATGGGATTTGCCCTTTACACTGGCAGGGACTTGACTAGGTGGCACAGTAGAAGACTAGGGAGTGAAGACCCCGGATTTGTTAGAAGGATCAATATAAGGGGCAGAATAACAACCCAAGAAGCAGTCATTATGGGTTTTCTTTCCCTGAATCTTCTGAATTACCTTACAACACTCTTGGCAGACTATCTCAGAAGCTCCTGGTGGCTTTCTTTTCACGTACCTGGTCTGTGGGCGTGTAGTCAACCAGACTGACGCTGTCAATCCTTTCCAGGAAGCTGCAAAGAAAGGCAGTACAAGGTCAGCCTGGTTCTCTGTCCCTTTGTCCCAGTGCCTGGGCTATGTTAATGGGGCATTTGCAAGGGGACAGTGAGGACAGGCCTAAGTGCTGCTAGGTGTCTGTCTCAAGGGGAGGCCAAGGCCTGCAAAATGTTTGACTTTGAGATTCTGTTCTTTCACCTCTGCTTTCCTTCCTTCTTCCCTCTTCCCCAGTCCTCGAAGGTTAGAAATGGTTGCTTTGTAACTGGGATGGGGGATGAAGCCCCATCCCTGGCCAAGCTGGTAGGAAAAGGAACTGCAATGTTAATACAAAACCAGAAAGCAACAACGTTCCCAAGACCAAGTATGTGTATGAAAGTCAGCAGGTGTACATGAGTGTGACTGTATGTTGTATTTATGTTTGCATGTGTTTGTGAGAAATAGAGTGTGTGAACAATGGTGTGAGGGTGTGGAAGGATGCCCGTGAGTGTGTGTAGGTGAGACAGAGAGTCTGCAGATCTCATCAGCACAGGCCGAGCAGCTGTCAGAGGAAGCTCAAGGGCAGGATGGTCAGACCTGCTTAGGGTGTGGCAGGTGAGTCAACAAGGAGTCATTTTCCAAATCTGTCCTGTTCCCTAAGTGACAGAACTCAGAGGTGAGACCCTGATTCAGACCTGCTGCCTCCATGAGGCCTGGCTTTCCAAGCTTGCCACATACTGGTGTTACTTATATCTTTTCTGTCTAAGTGCAGGATCTGGAGCGCGGGTCTTCATCTTGGAGACTCTGAGGTCCCTAGCACTCAGTGCAGTGCCCTCTCCTTCGGAAACATCCTTGGAATGAACATTCATTCCTCCTTCACCTGAAAGAGGCAATGAGCAAGGTCCCTGACAGGAAGGGCTGGAAGATGCTAAGCATTAAATATGAAGCTGCTGGCGAGAGTCAGCTTAGGAAACAACCAATTTAACACAGGGTTCACACAGGGTGGAGCAGGTGGGTGCGTATACTTGGATGATGATTATACAAGTAGAAAGAGTGAAATATGGCTGACAAAAAGTATGTATGAGATTCCTGAGAGATGTAATTAAACACTGCCTTCCAGAGGAAATGGTGGGAGGGAAGTGGGGGGACCTTCCTGCAGTCTATCCAAGTTGTGAGACGGAGAGGCTAACGAAGAGGCAAAGGCACCTCAGTCTCCCCACTCTGCTCCCCAAGGCGGTTTTCAAATTCCGTGCAGCTCTGACCCCTGACCTAGCTCCAAGCAACCTGCAGAAGCACTTCTTCAAGCTGGGGCTTGTGCCTACTGGACAGAAGTTTTAGAAAGCTTTTCCAAAGTCGGAACATTCTCCCTTTGTGCGACGTTTCAGGAGCCCGAGGGCGGTCAACTAGCCACAGCTGTTGACAATAGCCTGGAGAGAGCAGAACTCTGATTTACAAGAACACGGGACCTTTGTTTGAGTTACAGGCATAATAATCTCGAATGAACTAAAAACAAGTCCCAAACTCCCTTACCTTTGGCCTCCTTGGGCTTCCACAAAAGCCACAGAAAACTCCAACTGTATAAAACCACTTGTGTCTTGGACACTAAGCCCCCTTAGCTGTGGCCACGAGCCTGGTGCTGTAGGTTTGTAAATTCAGTTACTAAGGAGGTTGTGGCTCTGGGCTTAAACCCCAGCACATAAAACAAACAATTCGTCCTACCCACTCCACCCCCACTGGCTTTGCTATTTTCCAGTTTTTGCTGCTACAGCTGAAGGTGTGAATGCTGGCAGGACTGTCTTACTAGAATAACTCAGAAGTTGGTGGCCATGAAGATGATCAAGAACTGGGACCAAGGATAGCCAAGGAGAGGTTGTGGGGTGTCCTTTGTAGTTAGCTTGCTGGACCTGAGGAAAAGCATCAGCTATCTGTCATCCATTCACATTCTAAATAATTTCTTTGTGGAAAAAAAAAGAGCAAGCTCTAACTGCTGAGGGGGGAAGAATTTTCCTCCGAATTACTGATGCGTAAAAATATCCCTGTGGTAAGAGAGTCCTGGGGCTCTGGCCTCGGCTCCCTACATTGGGTCATCAGGGAACTCTGAGTTCTGCCACATACATGCTATGTCATGAATCTCTGAGACACTCCTAGGATCCTGCTGTATGACCTATCTGTCTGGTCCTGCTCCCTATTGGCCTGACAGTGTAATTGTAGAAAATGAACATTGGGGAAACTGGGCAGATGGCTTACTAGAACAGGTTGTGGAAGAAAGAAAGAAAAGAAAGGAAAAAGCCCATCACCACTTTGCTTAATGTCTCCTGCTTTATAGGTTTTTTTCCTGGTAGTTTTGAGCTATGTTTTGACAGCAAAGCCCCCACCCCCCCACCCCCGAAGGATGTTGTATGTATTGCAGAAAAAAATCATTAGTAATTACATACAGATTGGCTTAATAATGTCACTAGACCAGACTGCCTTACTTATTGTGTCCTTCCCACACCTCCAGTTCAAAGGCAGTAGGAAGAGCAGTTCTGGCTAAAATGTTATGATTACACACATCTGGGGCTCTGCACTAAACTAAACTAATTACAGAAAGTTGAGCGTGCACATCAGTCAATCTGTTTTTCTCCCCCCATTAATTCTAAAACCCAGCTTAGAAAAAAAAATGTATACATGAAGAAACATTCAGAGTAAGAATATCAAGGCTTCCAGGAATATTAAAAAAAAAAGCCAAGGTACCAAGATAAGAATTTAGGATTGAGGCCAACTTTGGTAAAATACCATGCTCTCTGAACCAAATTTACTTTTGAGTTCTCCTGCCCCACATCCATTTTGTGGTGCTGAGATCTAACCCAGGGTCTCATGAATGCTAAGCATATATTCTATGCTGAGATCCATAATCGCATGTAATAATACGCCATTTAAAATATATTTACCCAGTTTTCAAGATTTAAAAATTAAAACTACATCAATTCTAAATGTGTGGAAATAATTCATGAGCCTGTAGAGCTTTTGAAAATAATATTTATGATTCATAAAAATGTACATTCATATAGTATGATATGAACACATTTTAAGAAAGTTTAAGCATAGATAGTATTGTTCAATTTCACAAAATATATTTTGATCAAAATATTTTCAGTATAAAAGGGTCTTCAATTTACCAAGGAGAAGTTATTTTTTAAAATTATAATGAATGGAGGTTTTCCAGACTAAAGGACTAAAACACAGGTTGTATTCATGCACACCTGACTCAGCACAACTGTGCATATGAGGACACTGGGCAGTTAAGGTGTCCCATGAAGCAGACTTACCAAAAATAAAGGGTACATATGCACACACGCACACGCGCGCGCGCACACACACACACACACACACACACACACACTCCTTCACTCAGAGTCTCAGCACAAATCTGTGCACACTTGCACTTTGTTTTCATTAAGCACTCATTCACATGGGAAACCACACGGTAACAATGGATGTTCCAAAGAGTTTTGTAGAAGCTCTATTTTGTCTGAAACACTGGAATTCTCTTCGATAGCAAAACCTAATGAAATATGGGGTATTTTTCATCCAATAAGCTGAACGGTGTTTACAGATTTGTAAATAAACTAAGTACCCATTCCTCCTCATTTAAGTTTTTGTACCACTTGTTGGTCGATGCATCATCAAAACTAAAAATAAACTTAATTCTTTTTTTTTTTTTTTCCAAGACAGGGTTTCTCTGTAGCTTTGGCGCCTATCCTGGAACTAGGTCTTGTAGACCTGTCTGGCCTCAAACTCACAGAGATCCGCCTGCCTCTGTCTCCTGAGTGCTGGGATTAAAGGTGTGCGCCACCACAGCCCGGCTCTAAGCCATTTTAGATTACACAGGAACAAATAGAGAGGCGCGGAGACCATCAAGCTTGTCACCGCCGTTTAGGTACTTTAACAATAAATGCAGGCTTTCCATGGCAGCATTGTGTACTGTAGCTTTCCTTTACAAACATTCTTCCCACACAGCAATAACAAGATGGCAGAAGACCCACTGTCCTCATGAGCTAGCAGAAGACACTGAATATATGAGCAAATTCTGTTTAGAGATTATTTTAGTCCAGAGTCCTCCATCACTCAGGTGATAGATTGTCAATCAGTTAAAGTGCCTGTGCCAAGGGCATGGCATTTCCCAAGAACACAACTCCTTTTTTTTCTTCTTTTTTTCTTCGAGATAGGATTTCTTTGTGTAGCTTTGGAGCCTGTCCTGGAACTCGCTCTGTAGACCAGACTGGCCTCGAACTCACAGAGATCTGCCTGCCTCTGCCTCCTGAGTGCTAGGATTAAAGGTGTGTGTCACCAGTGCCCAGCCAGAACACAGCTCTTACTTACATCATTGTTCTCTGCAACAGGGACACACAGACGACCCTCCTCTGCAGGCCGTGTTTTTTTCCTGTGCCAGTCTAACGAGCCTGAAGAATGGAAATTGCTCAAGATTTATGTCACTGGACCAAAGTAGAGATGGGGGACAAATGACCCCTTCCTTGTGCCTTTACCTATGAGTTTCCCTCCCTCCTCCAGCCTTCCCAGGTCCCCTACTGTGATATAGTTGAATTCTGCAAGGTTGCCATAGCATAAGACATATGCCTGGTCCTCATCTGTCATGCCATTAAGTACCCGATAGTAGTGAGCTCTACTGTGCAGTGGGTATAGGTAGTGTATCAAAGAAAACATTATTGACTGGAATGTGGCTGAGGGGCTGCGGCATTATTCCAATCAGTAAGCTTAGCACTCACCACCTCCCATCCCCAGCAAAGCTCTTCCTCCAAGGAAGCGGTTTGGAAATGTCATCTATAGATGAACTGAGAGTAAGAAGAGAGGGTGTCTTGAGCCTTTCTGCTCACCCTCAACCTACTCCCCTCCCTGGTCTTTCTTGTAGCTTACAAACAAGTTCTTTGTCAATGATCCCTAACTCCCTCTTCTCCACTTTCACTCTCTCCCTTCTTTGTTTTTTTCATGGACCTGGGAATGGAAGCTAGGGCTTCCTGCATACTAGACAAACACTCTACAC